ACACCGACCTAAAAGAACATGATCGACCATGTCAAATTAAAAGAAAACATGATCGACCCCGTTAATTTTAGGGAGCGCGACCCGACCACGCCGACCTAGAGGGACATGATCGACCATGTCAAATGAAAAAAAAAACATGATTGATCACATTGATTTGAAGAAGCATGACTGACCAGGCTGGCTCTATAGGGACATGACTAATGATGTCAAATTAAAAAAATAACGTGATTAACCATAGATATTTGAAAGGATGTGATCGACCACATCGATTCCGTAGGGACGCGACCAACCATGTCTAGTTAGAAGGAAATGTGATTGACCACATTGATTTAAAGGGTGACGACCGACCACATCAAGTTTATAATATATGACGGACCACTTTGACCTTGCGGGATATGACAAACTACTTTGACTTTGTAGGACATGACGAGACCATGTCTATTTGGGAGGACGTGACAAATCATATTGATTTTATATGATGTGATAAAGCACGTCAATTTAGAAGAGCATGACAAATCATGCTGACTTAGAAGGACATGACAAACCATATTTATTTGAAATGACATGAAAGACCACGATGGTTTTAACCGACATGACATACCACACTTTTTGACAAGATATAACTAACCATTCCGACTTAGATTGAAGTGACAAACCATACTTTTTGACAAGATATGACTAATCATTCGACTTAGAATGACGTGACGGACAACATTGGTTTAGAAATGTATGACAAACTATGTTTTTTGACAAGACGTGATAAACCACTTTAACTTAAGCTCGATGTGAAATTTTCGGAGAAGCATAGGTCATCACTCGTTAAAACATAGGTTTTCCTCTTTTTCCTTTATTTTTATGTCATCTAGTTTAAATAGGCTCATAATTCTAGGCCGGCTACTTTCATTGAGCTTGTTTGTTTGTACTTTTGATTATGCCCTCTGTTCTTGTATTCATTGAGGTTCGTTGTTTGGATTATTGTCTATGTCATTTGAGTAGTGTCTACTCCTCTAACTAAATAGATGATCACTATTTTCATGTGCTCCTTTGGTATTGTCCCTAAATATTTGGGCTTCGTAACCACATATCAAGTGTCCGGCTCAAATGGTTAAGATGGCCTTCTGTCTTAATTGTCTATAGTTCGTCATGAGAAAGCTTATAACGGGTTTCTTGAAGGCCGACTCTTGTAGAACAAGTCCAAGTAAGATCTTTATCATGTTATCTTATGTCAATTTAATGCATTATCACCTTTCATGAATGACATCAATTACGGGATAGTGCATGAGACCAAAGAAGAGCTCTTTTTTTTAGGGACTAATCATACTTATGAAAACAAAGGTTTTTTTTAGAGACGAAAGATCATGAATCATATTATTTTGGGAGAAACAAGAATATAAGAAGTAAAGTCAAATGATTGCACTAATGAATATTTGGCTATAACTCGGATTATCTCTTTGTTATTCTAGATAGGAGACAAGTTGAAATGTTTTGGTCTTCTAGTGTCGACATATATTTATGACAAGTATGACATAGCATGTTTTTGAAGCATTGGTAGTGATCATCCATTTTTCATCTACCTTTCAATGTGGTTACTCATGTCATCCATCTTCTTTCGATGTTTGCGCTTGATCTTATGAAATTGTCTTTGAGAGATTTTTTTTTTTTGAATTTTGAATTTTCGGAAAATCATTTTCATTTGTTATGAATTTCATGGATTAGGTCGTCTATTTGAAAATTTTTCATCAAGACAAGTTGAATTATTCAAGAGAAATCATTGAGATGTTCATAAGAAAGTATTCTCATTCGAAATGTGTTTGACTTATTTAGGCAAACGGACAAAATGTATCGGGTAATGTTGCGATGTAAATCTCATAGTGATTCATTTTGAGGCTAAGATGAGCAAAAGGTGTTTGGGTCATAAAGGTTTTGAAAAAGGTTGGTCTCTTATGACAAGTGATTGACAAAAGTTTGGCCACTAGAGTACGAGTGTGCTCGGATGAATTTTAAGAATTAAAAGAGTTTTTGAAGAAAGTTTGGCTCAAATGGACTGTTTTGCCTAAAAAGACTCGGTTTACTTCTTTCTTGTCCCCATTTACTTGATGAAAATTTATGATTCAATATCATAAATGATAGTTTGTGATGCACAAATTAGTCAAGTTTTATTCAAAAATATTTTTTCTTCTTCACGTTTGAAACTAGAACTCATCGACTCAAATAAGCCATCTTTGATCGGAAAGAGCTTTCATAGGCACGTAATGAAGGCTTTGGCTTTGGTTTATGAATGAAAGGATATGAAAGGCTCAAAAGGTGTTTGAGGGTGTAAAGACCTAAGATCACTTAGTTGTTTATCGAGATCACTTTAAGCATATCGCTTTGACTTTGTCATCTTGTTAATTGATCTCATCTTTGCATCTCGACTCTCCTTTCATGTTCACTCTTGTCATTCATTTTTTTTTTTGGTTTTGTAATTTTTGACTCGGGCATTTCTAACTCCAAGTCATGAGAGGTATTACTCTAGATAACACTCTTTTTTGTCTTAGTGCTTTCACTTTTGTTTTTCATTTTCTCTCTTTTTGTTTTTTTAAAAAAAGTTGTTCAAGGATCCTTTTAACAAGTTTTTATTTTGTGAACAATTATCATTTCTCATCTCATCTTTCTAGGAGAACGTCCTTGATTACTAATGAACTTCAAAATTGCCCCCAGTATGAGGGGTGATCCTAGTCTAGGTCATTATCGAAAGAAATTCTTTAGGCTCAAAGTTAGACAACAAGGGATATTTTTTTTTTTTGTTTATTTATGGAAAAGTATACCAAAAATGGCCTTTCTTCATCTCAAATATGATCTCATTCCGGTTGATGAGCTCTAGTTTCATTTAAAAACTATGATCGACTTGTAGAGAAGAAGTGATGGGTATAGTGAAACCATGACACGAATGCATACCACTCATCATCATTTAAGACATCGAATTGCTCTTTTTTTTTGTTTTTTTTTTTTGGCTTTTTTCATTTTTTTTTTTTTGGCATCAATGTATCGTCTTAGGCAAGATTGTCTTGGAAGGATTTTTCAAGGATAAAAGAGAAATGTTTTTGGTTTTTGAAAGAAAGAGATTACCCCTAGCATTTGCACGGCATGTTTTGAAAGCCGATCGATGTTGAAAGATTTTGAATGAATTTACCATTTTATTTGCTTTGATTTGGATGACATAAAATGACAATGATACTTTCAAATAAACATCTCTTGATTTCAAATCAATAATAAGATCATGCCAAGATATTAGAAATTTGTTTTCAAAGAAATGACCTAATCCATGAAAATTATAACCCTTTTGCAAATGAAATTCAAAAATTCAAAATAAGGTAAGATTTCATTCACAAAATCAAGATACTCATGCTTATCTATCGAGCTTTGGTTGCCCTCCTCACATACATTCTCATGTACATTATAATCGAGTCATGATGACCATTCTTTTTTTTTTTTTAGCATAATTTGCTTGGTGTTTTTGTTTTTGAGATATGATCTTATTGAATGTCCCAAAAGTAAGGTAAAAAGGAGAATAAAACATAATAGAAAAAAGAAGGCAAAGGTGGTAGTTTGAGAAGAAAATTTACACGATCCCACAAATTGATATTATATGAAAGCATAATAGATAAATGCAATAAGGAAGTTACTTGGCCTTGGAAACAAAAGAAGCTTCTTCATTAGACCAGTCATTCAATTCCTTCCTCTAGGTTATCTCATAGATAAGCTGATCAACATCAAGAATATTCTTAAATGTGTTGGTAGAAAGCACCATCATTTTTGGACTATCAAGCACCGACCCAAACTCGTGTGACTTCATTTTTAACATCGACTTTCTCCATCCTTAAAATGTTCTAGCTTATTGAAGCTTTGTTGAAGGAGCTTGGACGATAGGTCGTTCGGGTGGTCCAAATTGGTCTTGTCTTTCTTGTCATAGGTTGATTTAGGTCTTTGTTGGTTAAGTTTTATCTCAATTGTAACATTTGGTTGTATTATTGTAGTTTCGTATTTTTAATTTCTTCAATTGGGTTCATGTATCTTGTAATTTTAGTCCTAAGATTTTTAATTGTTTAAGTTGTATCCTCGGTTGCTTTAATTTTAATTCTATTTTATTCAATCATGTCTTTAATGTAATTATTTATTTTTGTATTTTGCATTTTTATATATTTTTGTATTTTTTTTGTAATAAATATTGAAATTAAATAACTAAAAAAATAAATGAAAATAAGGTAAAATAAAAAAAAGATAATAAAATAAAAATAAACCTAAAAGAAATAAAATTAGAGGAATATACAATCCAAAATTTAGGTTATGACAATTTGATAAAAAAATATTTTCTTATATATATATATATATAGCAGGTTGTAAAGCAATATTTAGATTAAAATTATGTTAAATAATAATTGATTGATTATGTTTCATGAACCAAAATATTCATAACGCGATGACATTTTTAAAAAGAGATGAGAACTTTAATATCTTTGGAGTGACCGTCATTAATAGCGATTTGTTCATATAACTCAATTTAAGTAAATTTGGTATGCAGGAGTAGTGATGCTTTACCTAAGGATAATATTAAATTCATCAATCAAATTGTTATTTTCATCACTTTTTTCCGTACAGTTATTGATACACTTTTTATTAATTACTAATCATTATTATATAACAAATATTAGTTGATGGTGTATTGATACTTTTTTGAAAAAAAAACATTGATAAAAATAATAATTTGATTGGTAAATTTAGCAATATCCTTTGGTAATTATAATATATCCTTTTTCTTTTTTTTTTCCCCCATATTTTGTGATTTATTTTATTTTCGGGACAACCCTTCCAATATCTTACCATTATTTGTCATGAAGCCCCTGTTCTCCCTTAAATTTTCTATGAACCCCCTTTCTCTACGAAAATGGAAAAACTCTCCTCTGGTACTGATATAATGAACTTTCAACACCCGCCTCTTGGCTCTTACAAAACCAAGAAAAATGCTATCACCACACTCTCTGCAACTCTCAACGCTCCATTCTTCGTCGTTTACCCATAACTTCTCTCAAATTTACAATCCCACCCCTCCTTCTCTATGGCAATCAAAGAACCATAATCAAACACAGGTATCCTGCATTTCGACCCGACCAAGAAAGAAACCGTTTCCAACCGACGAGAAATCGGAGGCGCAGGAGCTAGTTCGGGTCCTTGTGAGGAGTTTCAGTGATAAGCAACCTTTGTTAAAGACACTTGATAAGTATGTTAAAGTCATGAGGACTGAGCACTGCTTTATGCTGTTTGAAGAGCTTGGCAAGACTGACAAGTGGCTTCAATGCCTTGAGGTTTTTGTTATTATCGACTCCTTTTATTCAATCTTTGTGTGTTTTTAGATTTGTTTCCTTGATATTAATTGGTTTTTTTTTTTTTCGTTTTGTTTAAATTTATTTCTTGTTCATATATGATCTGGGTTTTGTTCATATTTTGCTTTATTGGGTTATTGGATAAGTAAAAGAAGTGGCTTTTAAGTAGAAGCCTTTTCTTTTCTTGGTCTGTTTTCTTTGTTCTTTTTAGCTGTAATTAAAGAGTGGAACTTCTTATGTCACGTTCTTAGTATGTGTACGTAATTAGACATCATGTGTTATCATTTTTACCTAAGATAGTTCAGATGTATGACAATGTTCCTGTAATTACATGCATTTGTGTTAAGTAACAGTAATGCAATTAAGTATAGGAAGTTTAGAATGGTAGCGAGTTGGTTGCAATATCGTTCCATTTCAATTACTTGATAAAGATTTGTCAGATTCTAAGTCATTGCATTTCTAAGAAATTAGAATGTAGCCATTTAGTTGCACACATCACTTGAAATGAAATGAAAGGTTATTGACTTACAAGGTACACGTTCAGGTGTTCAGATGGATGCAAAAACAACGGTGGTATGTAGCTGATAATGGTTGTTATTCGAAGTTGATATCAGTTATGGGAAAGAAAGGTCAAACCCGGATGGCTATGTGGCTCTTTTCTGAGATGCGTACCAGTGGATGCCGGCCGGATACTTCAGTCTACAATGCACTCATTACAGCCCACCTTCACTCTAAAGATAAAACTAAGGCTTTGACCAAAGCTCTTGCATACTTTGAGAAGATGAAAGGTATCGAACGGTGCCAGCCCAATGTTGTGACGTATAATATTATTTTGAGAGCATTTGCCCAGGCTCGAAATGTAAATCAAGTGAATGATTTATTTAAAGATCTTGACGAGAGCATTGTTTCACCTGATATCTATACATATAATGGCGTGTTGGATGCATATGGGAAAAATGGGATGATCAGAGAAATGGAATTTGTACTTTCTCGCATGAAAAATGATCAATGTAAGCCTGATATTATCACTTTTAATTTGCTGATTGATTCATATGGGAAGAAGCAAGATTTTGGGAAGATGGAACAAGTGTTTAAGAGTTTGCTGAGCTCCAAGGAGAAACCAACTTTGCCTACATTCAATTCTATGATAGTAAATTATGGGAAGGCACGGCTGAAAGATAAAGCAGAGAGTGTTTTCAAGAAGTTGACTGATATGAGATATACACCAAGCTTCATCACATACGAGAGTCTCATCATGATGTATGGAATTTGTGACTGTGTTTCTAAGGCCAGAGATATATTTGATAATATGGTTGAATCAGGAAAGGAGGTCAAAGTTTCAACCTTAAATACTGTGCTTAACGTTTACTGTATGAATGGTTTGCATATAGAAGCACATATGCTTCTTGAAAATGCACGCATTGTAGGGGTGCTTCCAAATTCATCCACATATAAACTTCTGTACAGGGCCTACACTAAAACTAACATGAAGGAGCTTGTACAGAAGTTGCTAGAGCATATGGACAAAGATGGCATCATCCCTAATAAGAGGTTCTTCGTGGATGCTTTGGGAGCTTCCAAATCTTCAGGGGCAAGTTCAGATTCTGCCATTCCTCGCAAAGGTTCAAGCAGCCCACTGAACAATGCCAAGACTTCAGCAGAATGATTGTTAGTTTGTCCAGAAGGGTTTTGTAAAGTTTGTATCACAAACGAACAGTTGGCTAGTTGAGTCCCTGATTGCTGAACTGCTGAAATGATTTTGTCAGCATACAGCGTGGTATGTATTTATTGCCCTCTAATTAGCCTCCAGATCATTTTTTTGCTATTCTTCATGCTTTGTCTCTTGAAAAGCAGCATCCTTCGCTCTCTTTACTTTTATTTCGAAATTCAGTATGCCCCAAGATATCTTGAATGTGCTACATACTGCACCAGATTTTCGCGTGGGACTTCTCTGTCTGCATTTCAATTTAGGTTTACACATATATGGCATAGGCGATCCTAGTACAGCGGGGTTGTAGTACTTCAACTGCTAGGGCAAAACTAGTTGCATTCTTTATGGATAAAGAAAACCATCTTATAACCAAACCTAACTAGTTGTTTCTGACACTTAACCAGCTGTTTTTCTTTGTTTCAATGAAATGATTGCCTTTTGATTTTGATGTGATATTCTAGCTACAGAACCTAACTAATTTACATGGAAGATTTAATGCTGTTTCTCTTTCCTGTTGCTACCTAAAAAACCAATCCAGAAAAAATGAGATCCTATTTCAGCAAATTTCAATGGCTGCAATAGTTTTAGGTGTTTTGATTAGTATTCGTATTGTGGTAAGTAAAATCCAGCAGCATTCATCTCCTTCCCTGTTTACTTGTTTTGTTTTTTTTCTAGCTGCCCAACTGCAAAGCACAAATTTCTTTTTTTGTCTTTTTTCAAATAATCTCAAACATGCTAAAAAATTGATTGTTTGCTGAAGGGTTATAAGCATTTCAAAGTATTTTTGGGTACACTACAAGCTAATATGCATCCTATTTGACCAAAAATAGAATTTTAGAAATAGAAATCCTTTAGCATGTTGCAGACATCTCCCACCAGCAGGCCAAATCATTTCATCATGTAACTTGACATGATAAAGCAAGCACTCCTGAGATCCTTGATGTAACTTTTTCTGTTTCCTGCTCATATTTACATGTGAGAGTAGTTTGGGGCAACTAAGGGGAGGGGAAGAATCAGGCAATGAAATAACAATGAGCTGAATGAAACAGTCAGTCAAGATAGGATTATATTGGTCATTTGCTTTGTCTGTGATCCCTATATCCACTCAAGTTATTACGGAAAACCTGTAACATGGGGACTGTCTTTCTGCAATTGACAACATACAACACAGTATTTTTGTTGTTGTTGCTGCGAGACAAGATAGTACTGTACGAGTCTTTTTTTTTTTACCCCTTTAAATTAGTATTGTAGAAGCTAGTTTGAATTAGATGCCCATGATATTTCTTCATAAATGTTTATGGCAGCTTACAGCTATTAAATGACTGCAGGGACTATTTAACCTTCGCAAAGACCAGACTAGGTCATTCAACTCAATACTTGCAGATTAGGACGGCCAATCTGATTGCTGCTATGTACCCCTGGCCCCTGGGAAGGAAATGAACCCGTCATTTGAACTTTCTAAAACTTGTACTACAGATGACACCAACAAGTAGAGGTGGTGCTGCTAATCTCAGCTATAACCTGTTGTAAAGCATGCAACTGCTAATCTCATTTGTTTAGATGTTTTTTTAAGAACATGAAACTGTCATCTTTCAGGCTGATTCATTCAACTTCATTTTAGTCACAAAGTGGGAGCACTGCATCCTCTGACCTTCATTTGTCATGGTCGCATCTATTCCAGGTTCAACCTTTAATTTTACATCCTACTTAAAAACAAAAAGGCTGAATCTATTATTTACATCTTGTATTTTTATTAATTCGTCAAAAAAAAAAAAAAAAAAAAAGCCTATGCGTTATCATTTCAGTGAATTGAGTAAATGCCTTTTTTTATAGCAGCCGATTGAGTATGATTTGCTGAAATCAAAAAAAGGATCACTTAATGAGAAGGGTAGGGATGGCTCATGATATTAACGGGAATGATGACTGAAGCAGCAAGGAAAACTACTTAATTGGCTGAAATTAATTTGCAATTTCAGAAAATTGCATTTAATTGATCGAATTTAGAAATAGACATAATCATCTGAACAAATGATAATAGAGTTCTTGGGTGAATTGGTGAAAATAAAGGATACAAATAACTGGGTGTAGTCTAGACAAAAAAAAAAAAAAAGGGCAGAGGAAGAGCAGTGAAATTGGTTGCTGCGTGGTTGGCCAAAAGGTATTCATGACTATGATAATGAGATATTATTCTGCTTTTCTTCGAGTTCACAAACAACAAATGATAAGAGATAGAAATAAGATAATGAAGTTATCACATGTGGGATGGGATGGGATGGGATGCTAGCTCAGGATAAGGGTGTTGTCAAAATACCAAATCAATGCTCGCATTGAAAACAAATCAATTATTGTCATTCCGCAGCAGAATTCCATTAAATCGAGAACATTTACGCGGCAGATAGATAGTTAACAGGCGAGACTACTTTTCACTTCAAGGATATCCATGAACTTACATAGCTAGCAATTGGAATGGATATGGGGTCCAGTTTCAGAATACATAAAAATCAATAGGTTCGGTGAGTGATGCTGCGTCCTCTAAACGATGACTGATTGGATTGGATGATATAAATCCCGGAAATCTTCGTCTGACTCTGCATTCAGGAATTTGTCCATCAGAATAAAAGTAAGACATGATACAATGGAAACAAGGACAATTCGCTTATGAAGGGTTTTCAGACTAAAACAACTTGGAGAAGTGCACATGTGACAGCGAATGCACTTTTGCATCAAAAGCATACTATGTATTGCTTCCACGCTATCTTCCTTCTAGACACCAAGAGGTGAACCCCTGACAGAGAGAGGCATTTCACCAGGTTTAGGCAGCCTTAAAGAGTTTTGGTGTCATTCCACTTCACAAGAAACTCTCCATTTTCCTCATTTCTTTCGCTTTCGACAGACAAGCTGGGCATGTTTTCTTTAAAAACTACAAAACAGGTGTTTTCAGCTGTTCCTTGCTAAAATACGAGCGCAGCAACCGCAATGCTGTTAGCAAATGCTCGATTCTTGCATCACCCCGCAATTTGACGCTCCACTACACCAAACAAATTCAAACCCATATTTAACCCAATTCAGATAAGACTAATTGCAAAGTAGAAGCATAACAAAGTAGAAATTAAGCAATCAATTTGGGAAAGGAAATTTTATGAAGGATCTGTCGAATTTTGGAGCGGCAACTTTTCGAATGGTTTCCGAAATTCAAATTTTGTTCTGTTAAAAGGGGAGAGGCAAAAGATCATGTGAGAAATACATGCGGCCCATTAATTCAAAAGGACTACAAGCCCATGCTCACAAAAGTTTTGTTTGACCCAACAAAACATGTTTTAAATAAAATGGAATTTGTTTGGATTTTTCTTTAAATAAATTGAATTTTCAATTTCGTCGTAGTGACAGACATTGTACCGAACAAAAATATTTTATTTAAATAAAAATAAAAAAATAGTTTAAAAAATAGATGGGGCCAAGCATTGGTCATGTCGACAAACTAATTATATTTAATAAATGATATAAGGTGATTGTGTCCTTAGCGAGTGAAATGAATTGTCATATGAATATATGAGATGAGATGTTTAATTTAATCAAATGGTAATTGTGTTAATATAATCTACACATCTGTTTTTATCAATTTAAAGTTAGCTTTGATTCTCAAACAAATAATAATAAATTAAAATTTTGATTCTCTGACCATAAGTCATCATCTTTTAACAACCATAAAACTGAAAGTGTAGCTCATGCAAATGGATTCTAATACAAAAGTCCATATTGAAGAAAACCCCTCATCTTTTAATTCATAAAAAAAAGAAAAAAAAAAAAGAAGCACAATTTGTGACTTAGGAGTCTAGAATTCTGATGAGCCTGGTTGCTGATTCCAAGTAATTAGGGTGACCAAGAAGGAAACACGTCAAATATATATATATGGCTGTAGGTTGTGGACGAAGAATATGGGTCTTTTTTGTTATGTAAATTAAGATGTCCTGTAATACTCTGAACCTGTTACTAAATAAATTAAAATATATTAAAGATATATGAAAACTATTTTGTAGGCATAGGATAATTGCTCAATGGTTGTTAGAATATTCGGTGCATTTATGATAATTTTCTTGTGTGATAGAATATTCTATGCATTTGGATGAATTTTCATATGATGAGTGAATTTTTTTTTTTTTTTAACTTTTCGATGCATGAATAGTATTTTTTATGTAAATTAATTAATTTGAGTGTTTTAAATGGGCATGAAAATTATCCAATGGGCATAGAAAAATTGTTAGGGAGGTGTAGGAATATTCCATGCACTTAGATGAATTTTTTTTTGCTTATTGAATATTTTCCGTGGGAATAAGTGTATTTTTACGCAAAAATAATTAATTTGAGATTTTAAATATGTGTATAAAAATTATGTAAATGATGAATAAATTAAGTTAAGAAGTTTTTGAATTTATTATTGAAAGAAATTAATTTTTTAAAAGGTGTGGAATAAATTATGCATAGATAAGGACCTAATTGTATAAAATTAAAAATTTCAAATTTCAAATTAAATTAGGAATGAACTTAAGAAAGTAAAAATTTATTAAATAGACCTAAAAGAAGGACCTAAAGTGATCAATTAAATAATTGAAGAGCTTATGGAGGAGTAAAAGTTGGAAAATTCCATAATCCAAGGGACTAAAATTAACATTTTTAGCCAAACTTTTCCACCTTGTCCAGCCACCTTGCCCCTCAATTAATGAATGTAATAATTGACTACCCAAATGGATGGTTAGAAATATATGAGATGGAGGGTTTAGATTTAAAGGAAGATAGACGGCTAGGTTGAACTAAATGGATGGCTACAATTAAAAGGTAAATTAAGGGTAGAGATTTAACTAAATGAAGGGTGGAGATTAAGTCAAAAACAAAAAAAATTCTACCCAATTTCACTATAAATTTTGCCCAAAAAGGGAGGGAGAAAAATGTTAGAAAAA